TCTGAAATATTAATCATATCATTTGTCCCGTGATGCGCTTACTTGTTCCTATAAGAGCAAGGAGAAGATAAGATGGCCATTGTGGAAAGAGGAAGGGGGAAGAGTGGGAATTATCCCAAAGGAGCATCTCGATTTGCATGACATGGATCGACAATCATCATTTATCGTACCTAATTACAAATATATAATTGCATGATATGGATCGATTATCAATTTTGATAAAAAAGATTCATCGTTTTATAATACTTAATTACAAATATATAATTGCATCGGGTAGATGAAAGGTGCAGAATTGCTGTGGCGATGCTGCAGGATGCTTTCATGGCATGGCGCATTCTATTAATATATGCTGCTGCTAAAGCCGGACGCCCCATGTCCTTGCCAAGCTCAGCTATGCTTCCTCTTCTGTGAGGTTCCAGTCGCTGGCGAAACCCGTCCAAGACTTAGGCTTAAGGGTGTCGTCGGCGCGTCCCGTTTCCCTTTGACTCTTCCCTCCCTCGGGCAAACCTGCCTGCAGTCGTCAGGAAGGTGATCACCATCACCATTGGAATCTGCATGCAGGATGATTCAGTTGATACTTATCTCGATACAAGAAAGATGATATGTGGCGAGAGACTATGACGCTGCGGACGCCGGACTCCGCCACGAATGAGCAGTAGGGTGCTTCCTTACAGACCGACCGTCCATGCACGAAAGCTGATGCTTCCTTCTCATTGCATCCAACAGTCCTGTGAGGAAGGACGCTCACATCCACTGCTTGCATGAATGGCTGGAAATCCTTTTCTCTCTTCTATTTTCATCTTGTTTCTTTCTCACAGGGTTGGTGGGAATCTTTATAGCGGTCTGACGTGCACTCAATAATAAGCTTCCTGCATTCATATTTGTATATATCATGCAACATGAATATGAATGATTATAAATTGAAATCTAATTGGTAAAGATTTTGATATATTATATACTAACTAACTAAGAAAAACGTTGACTAATTATCATAAGATACTAAGAAAGGTACTAAATTCGTTTATTTATTTTTATATAAAAAATGGAAAACCTGTAATTTACTATTTAAATGATGATTAGATTGAAATTTTTAACAGCAATTTTCTTAATATCTTTTTTTTTCTTTAATTTGAATAAGCATCGCCGGATGGAAATTTTGTGGAACTTTGTTAGTTTGGAAGAGCAGAACTGTGTGTGGAAACAATGGTGATTGGAAGAGCTACAACAAGCACAGAAAGTAGATTGGCCTCCCCCTCCTTTATTGTCTAACCATTGTCCGTCTTCGTTCATGCATGGATCTCATCCACGACGCTGCCCGGAGATAGAACAGAAGCTGGGTAAAGAAATCTCTTGAGCCCCTTCACGTTCAGCATCCGCTTGCTCAATGGCTCGCTCGAGGCATTCCCCGGATTGCCCAAGTAGAAGCAACGGGAGAACCAGATGACGATCTCCGGCGCCAGGCTCATGACGACGTGAAACGGCTTGTACCAGGATGGCCAGCTTATGTACTCGTCGCCCCTGCACGCCCCGCCGACGATGAGCTGCGCGCACTTCTTGGTGCTCCCGATCGGCAGCGGCCCCACTAGGATCTGCCATTTCACGTCGCGTCAACGTTAGCTCAGAAAAAAGAAGAAGAAGATGAAGTGACGGTAGTGGTCGGCAACGGACGTACATCTCTGGCTTCTTGGTTGATTGCTACTTCGCCGTTCTTCTGCACGGCTTTGCCTTTGGTGAGCTCGGAGGCGACGTAACCGAGGTTGACTATGGTGATTCGGACGTCGGACCCGAGCTCCGACCGTAGCGTTTCGTAGAACCTGATCATCGCCGCCTTGCTTGCCTGAAACCAGACGCATGATGTCATGAACAGAGCTAATCGCTCTCCAGATCGTGTCGACTGCGACGTACGTACGTTGTACAAGGACATTCTCGGTGTAGGAACGCGGCCAGCCATGGATGCGTTGACGACGATCTTTCCGCGGGTGTTCTTGAGGAACGGAAGGGCGTAATAGGTCGGATAGACGGAACCCCAGAAGTTGACATCCTGAGAGGAGTCCTGCAACCATAAGCGCCTACTCTACTGCTCTATCCATCGAAGCTGGTGGACGGATACGTTACCATCAACTGGGTAAACGCAGTGATGCTGGTGATCTCCTCGAAGAAGCAGCTGCACCAAAGCCCTGCGTTGCACACGAGGTGGTTCACTGGGAGCAAGCGATCGGGATGTAGTCAGTGAAACTAGTTGGTGTGCTCATGGAGTTCAAGGCATGCGATGGAGAAAGCTAAGCTGGCGATTACGCTGCCCGAAGCGACCGATGGTTGCCTGGACGACCCGGTTGGCCTCGCTAGGGTTGGAGATGTCCGCTGCGATCACAAGCACGTCCGGGGCGCCCAGCTCGCGGGCCTTCGCGGAGACGGTCTCCAGGGCGCGCTCTCTTCTCGCTGCAAGCGCCATGGACGCCCCCCTCTTCGCGTACTCGTAAGCTAGTTGCTGAAGGAAGAAACAAGAATGGTGTCATAGGTCGGTCACATTACAACATCCATCCATGACAGCAATTAGAAGCATGTCACTGACCTCGCCGATGCCGGATGAAGCGCCGGTGATGAGGACCACCTTCCCCGTCATGTCCTCCTTCAAGAAGGGCCTCACCAACGCCCACCTGAGTAGTCTCCACACGAGCGAGATGGGCAGGTACACCAGGAGGAATGCAGCAACGAAGACATGCATCACGACACTCAGAGAGCCGTTCAACAGCTCCATGGATGATGGATGTAAGATGAAGAGAGCAGGGAAAAGGTGCAGAGTCTCAAAGGCAGGAAATATAGCTGTGTTGGGACAGGTGACGCTGCACGGTTGGTGGAACTCTTTAACTTCGCTCGAGCAGCTCGTCTTTAAGGAGATGGGTGCTGCACCCGATCATCTTTCGCTGTAATCAATGCATGCAGGGAGACGTGAGTATCGCACAAGGATTTCCAGCACATTGCCGTGCAATAAACCACACCAATATTCGGTGTCTTCCATCAAGACGCTCACGTGATTGATGCAGCGGTGCTGTTTTGATGTCTCCGGCAGGTGGCCTGCTCCCGAGGAACATTATTATCATCCTCATAAATACTGAATAAATGAAGGTAAATTTGCATTTATATATATATATATATATATATATATATATATATATATATTATTAAGAACACATATATTACTCGCATTTTAACAAGTTAAAAATGTGAATCATTGAGTGAGTACCACTTTCTCTATTTAAAAAGGCTTACTATTATTAAAACTAAAGGATGAGAACTGTTTATCGATCCAAAGCTAATATTGTGATGCTCATTGATGGTCAAACGAAGACTCAAAAATCTCATTAAGGCTCAAATCCACGAATAATTCTTTCGTACTCAAGTCTCTCGCTACATCATAATATTAGGTTGGATATTAATTATCATAATCCGACCTAATAGAATAATTGACTTATTATTAACTTTGTTGAGCCTAAATTGTCAGAATTTTTTAACTCAAGTTAATAGGATATCTATCATATCCTATCTTTATAAGTCAATCTTAATATTTATCTATTTTTACTAATCAAAATATTTTAATATATTATGAAAATAAAATAATGGTATGTTTTTGACCGGAAGAATACAGCGAAGGAGGTGCAAAAATCCTTGTAAGTTTACTTGGGACATGTGGAGGAGCAAAGATTTGTTCTTTGGCTACATGTCTGTCACTTGTGGATGTTATTGCAGCATAAGCGGAGTAGAGGTGTTGGGGGGGGGGGTAGAAAGTAGCCTTCGCCTGGTGTGTGAGGGGACAAAGGAGACAACATGAACTGGGTGCACACTTTAATATATGAAGATGATGAGCACTGTTTTGGGAGTGAATCTGGGGGACTTGGCAGGCACAGAGGCTAAGCCAAACACTCACAAGTTAAACTTAGGTTTATGCGGAAGTGGGAGTTCCACTATGATCATTGGTTGGAGTGTTAAAAAAGCCTATCTACCTACTTGGATTTCAGCTTTAGTTGTTGCTGTCTCACTTCCTTTTTCCCAGGGAGAGGGTGGTGTGTTGGATAGTGGGGGGCTATTTCCTAAGTGTTTGGCATGATTAGTGAGTGGTGTGTTAGTGGGGGGCTTTTAGCCTGTTGATGGATGAATGATGGGCATTGTTAAGAGGATTACTGTGTCCACTGTCCAAAAGAGAAGTGAAATATAGTATGTGATGGTTGTGAGTGCTGCTTCGGCTTTGCTGTGGTTGGCAACTAATTTTTATTTTTATTTTGGTTTTGTGGTCACCATGTGCTGCTTGACTACTCCACATACAGTTCATGATTGCTTTCTTCTGTTCCAGATCCATTAACTTTCCAATCTTTGATTATATGATGATATAATATTTAAGTGCTTCGGTAGAGAAAAGGGTTAAGACCTCTCTTATGCATTCCGATCATTCTAAAACTATTTGAGAGATTAAGCATTTTAAAAAATTTAAACTAATGTTCTAAGATTCTTCACGAGGAAGGAATTTTCATGAAAAACATAAAATCTTAAAATTAAAGTTTGATGAAAAAGAATAAGATATAAGGAATACATAGAATAAAAAATAAGATACAAGGAAAGGATAAGTTTCTAGATAAAAGTAAAAGAAAATATATAAATTATTCGAAATTTATGTGAGAGAATATACATAAGAATTATTATACATAAATAAAGATAACTCAAGAATCTTATAATTGATTAATTTATTATTTATTTATTGATCTCCAGATTATTTTTTTTTTTTGTATTTTCGAGTTCTCCTCTCCTTCCTAATACAAACATTAATACATTTGTTTGCATCTCAAGTGATAACCCTCCGTGTTTCCGGTTTTATGTATAGCCATGCAATATGAAATGGAGTTTAATTACCTTTGCAGGTGAGGACGTGTGCTCCTATCCACCAGTCGACGTTGGACATTCCAACATTTAGCGATCTGAAATGATCGGCAGAAGACGACTCAACTATGTGTCTACCTCAAGTGCTAGCCACCTTGATCAGAAGGAAAACTAAAGTACATGAAGAGAGATCGTACCTAATTAAAGTACATGAGGACAAGTTTTCTGAGATTAAAGAAGAGGAAGCGATGCCATGGCTCTCTAAACTTCGTTCCCTCCCACCTCCATAAGCCTGCCTATAAAAGGCCAGTAGCTGTTCCATACGAGATCATCCAAAGCCTCGAGATAGCAGAGATCATATGGAGCAAACAAGGGTCATTTGCGTTGTAATGGTGGTTCTGGTTGTGTCTACAGCCACTGCTGCAGCAGGAACAAGACTGGGAAAAAACGGTAGGGACAAGGACAAGCGTCTGCAAGTAGCCGCCGGCGGTGTTGTTGCAGAAGAGAACGATGAGATGCGAGGTCTACTTCCCAAGCAGCGAACGGCTCCCTCAGGCCCAAATGGGATGCAGTCGCCATATGTTCCTCGAGCTGGACAGATCCAGCGCCTTGATCATCCTGCCGAATACGATCTGCCTGAGCCACCACCGTCACCCCAGCGGCTGGACTGAAGAAGACAGACAATGCTGAAGAGGAAAACGAACGAGCTGCGTGCATCGTGTAATTTACTTCTGTCGCCTTTATTCCTATGAATAAATGTAGTACTCAATTGATGGTGTCAACTCTGTCTCCGTCGTTTATCCTTTAGAACTCATCTTCTTCTACTTCATAGTTAATTCTGCAATGTGTTCATCAAAAGTGGCCAATAAATCCTTGATGATAACAGCAGAAAGTTGTGGGGGATGATTCACAGAACAGTACCTGCGGGAGACAGTTGCATGGGTGGAGAACCCTAATAGTCTGTAGATTACACCACTGATAACAGGGCTTCAGCTCATGTTCTTCGTTGGTATGGTCAAGGTTGCAGGTCCTGATAGGCTCCTCGCTGCAGTATAAATTACTGATCCACCATTGTCATTATAATACAAGAGGATCAAAGAGTCAGACCGATCGGGAAGGACCTGTCCTCTTCCATCCACCACGAAGACCTGTATTCATGAATGTACCTCTGGAGACCTCAATCATCAAGTTTTAACCCTTCTCTCGATCATCCCAGATGAAGATTAGATTCAAAAACTGCCAATATAGAATTCTATAGGATATGTTAATAACCATTCACTGAATCATTATTCTCACTAACATTATTAATGTTGAGGACAAATAATTGTTGGAGTTACCGAATCTCATTCTCAACCCATGAACAATATGAATCCGAAGCTTTCTTCAATTCTATAGGGGTTTGTTTTGTGATCCCCACAAAACCTATTCCAATTCTAGTTCTCTGGGCTCAAAATTTTCAAACAAGTTTATCGAGAAAGAATTTGATTTGGTTGTGCAACTTATGGTTGATAGAAGGGATTTGCAACCCCGACACTGTGATTCATAGCCACATGCTCCAATGCTTTTTGTCAATTGAAATTTCAACATATAGTGACATATATGAGCTTTAGATTTTTGCATGGATATATATATATATGTATATATGTATATATGTATGTATATATGTATATATGTATGTATATATGTATATATGTATGTATATATGTATATATGTATGTATATATGTATATATATATGTATATATATATATATATATATATATATATAACCACAAGTGGGATTTAAAACTCTAAAACATGGAAAATGGATCCGAAAAGGTTTAATGTTTCCCATTTGCTGTGATTATAGTATAAGAACAAAGCCCAGGTTCTTAAAATTGGATTCAGATCCTCTCCCATTCTAAGAACTACTGAAAACAGGAAGCTAATATAGGATACTACTGTGAATACACAACCTCCTATGAGAAGCTACTTCCAATGCATGACAATAGACATTGAAGAAATATCACATAAATCAGTCTTCATTCCAGAGTATTACCGACTAGAGTAGTCAAACACGTTGATTAAGCAACAATATAGATATGTATACCTAATTATCATGTTATGCAGAAAGAACACAGAAGGAAACCACAGTTGTAGCTAAAGAAATGATTTGCATAACTATCCTAAACAAAGAATAGAGCAAGTTAATGAAATTTTGATTTTTTAATATTGTACATATGCGATCAGCCTCATAATCCAATAATGATACCAAATTACCTTAAAGGGAGGACATTAGGACAATTCCTCAAAGAAATATATAAAAACACAAAATATGGTAAGAAACATAGAAGTCAGAATGCTTCTGACTGACAATCAATAGCTGAAACTATTTTGTTAAAACTGCACTTACCTTTCAGCGCATGGTTTGACGTTCAAGAGTAAGATGGAAATCAGGTTCTAGCAGGTACAAGGTTCCAGAAACTAACTGCTATTTCCAGCAATCTCATATTGGAATAAGAGTTAATGGTTATATATGCCCAACAATGACTGTAACAGAAGATATGTGAATGGTCAACAACCCTGGCATCCTAGTCCAAGTCATCGAGAAAAAAAAGGATGATGAAATGGAGAATGGAAGCTCCATGAGACTTCATTTTGTGACAAGTCCATTGTTCGATGCCAAAGGTTCATCCACTGCCCCTAATAGATTCTGAATCAATTACCTGATTGTTGTTTGTTTATCTCCATCCCCAAATCTTCCTTAACTTCGGTTATAACCTGAAGAAGTTCAACAGGAGTTGCTGCTGGGTCCAATTCAAGGCAACCCTTCAGAGCATTATGAGCTTCTTCGCCTGTGAGCAAATAAGAAGGAACCTGATGTGAGAAACGAAACATTTCTTCTCTTGTGATCCTCTTAACCTCCAATGGATCCATATGTCGATGGAACACTGCTTTGAAACCAGCAACTTTCACCAATGGGATGACAGACACACCATGGTCATCTGTGTAATCATCAAGTACTTCCACCATTTCATACTTGTATATCACATCATCAGGCGTAAGCTCATTCCAGTCTGGAGACCAATTTCTATATAAGGCCCAAATATCACCTTTCTTAGGGACAATTCTAATGACTCCACGTGGACCCTTCTCCCATCTAACTCTATGTGAGAATATATTGACTGTGTCACTAATTTGATATCTACCCACCCTAAAATCCCCGCAGGTTTTGTCAAATCCAGAGGCTACCCAGTTAACTGGTCCCAATTCACTGTTGGACTTTGTATTAAGGAAACTCATGCGGATGTTAAAAGGATTCAAAGATAAAACTTTTTGAACCATGGCATAGAGTCGAGGCATACCATCTTCACTGTCATATGTAGCCCATACCTGGTCACCTTCAAAAGTCATCTCCAAGCGATCCTTGTCAAAGTCATAGAAATCAGGATCAGGTACATCAATGGATACATGTTTAACGACTTTCTTAGCTGTATTGACATCAAGGCCATGGGCTGAAGATTCCCTAATGCTGGAATCATGTTTGCCTGTATTTGCATCTATTGCAGATGCTTCTTGTCCATTTTGCCGCCTTAATTTCTCTTTTTCTTCCAACTTGTTTGCCTGAGCTAAGTTCCATTCTTCTAGCTTTATACCAATCGCTGCCTTAGCCTTCTCCGTAAGCATTTTCCAGATATTGACTTGTGAATACTCCCTGATGTAGTTGTTCTGTCTTGCTGTGATTCTAGTTCTAAGAAGATCCTCAACAGCACCATTAGACCTTTCAACTTCAGGATTAATGGTGTCTTCGATGCTTGTAGACATATTCTCTGTCTCATCTGTTCTATAACAATCACCACTTTGGTCACCATTGTTCCTCCTCTTTGCTGGCCTGGCAGCCTTAGAAATACACCGGTCCTGATCATAACTTGTTAGGGTGTGACCATCATTGTAATTTCTAGAACCATCATCTGCACTCTTGTATACATGATAATCCGTCCGGAAGGACTCTTCCCTTCGAGCTGCTGCTTGTGCCTCATGCTTTCTTCTCTTTTTTCCAAATTTCTTATGGATTAAGTTTGCAGGCTGAAAAGCAGAATCTGTTGTACTAGAAGTCCCAGATGATCCAGTGAAAGAGCTCCATTGGAACTTATGATGGTTATAAAAGTCAAGATTTCCCCCATGCTGTAATTCTGTATGACCTGTTCCAGAAAAAGTGGAGGTACTGAACCCAGAACTATAACCATTCTTTATTGTGTACTTATAGTTTGAATTATGTTCGTGCTGCCTGGCTGACCATGAAATAGAAGAATTTGCTGCATTACCTGGAATTCCTATCTCGATAGCCATGAAGGCCTGATGACAGTTGGGACATAAAAGATTGTGATTAAGGTAAGTCCTAAGGTATTCATACTGCATCCTGCAGCAGTTGCAAGATGTCCAAAACGTGTTCAAATTTATTGGATGAGGTTGAGGAGGGGCAGCAGATGGAGCAGAACCAGTTTTTCTCTTTCGAGCTCTTTTGCCGGATGTTGTGTTGGAAGATGAGTAGAAACCATTGACAGTATTATGAACAGAACAATCTCTATGTGGTTGTGAAGCTCTGCTTTCTAAACCATCGACATTTCTCATCTGGTCATATGCCATTTTCCTATTCTTATCAGAAAATACATTCCAAGCCTCAGAGATGAGTTTGAAAGCACCTTCTGCTCCTACGGATTTGTTCTTGTCAGGGTGCAGCTGGAGGGCTAACTGCCTATAATGTTTCTTCAGTGTCTCTTCATCTGCAGTGGCATCCACGGAGAGAATTGCATACCAGTCACTCTCCCCATTAATCTTCTTTCCTGCCGCAAGATAAACATCCAGTGTTGTGATCATTTGGCTTATGCCTTCAAGCGACGGGAAGAGATTTTGAGCCTTCAGAGCCAACTTTTTGGCACCCTTGACGTCCTTATTGTTGAATTTCCTTTCGGCAGTTTCTTTGGCCTTAAGGGCCTCCTCCCTATCACAATCCATTCACTGCTCTTTTCTCTTCTGGTCTGCAAATGGTCTTGTATATGAACTTAGAACAGACAAAGAAAATTTCTTCCAACACTTCTACGAACAGCAACACAGAGATCCAGTTCATCCACCAAATGGCCAGATATCCTCAGCTGAAAACAACAAAACCAAACAACGAACTTTGTCACACTGAAGCGAAATCTGACTCAAAGCAAGACGAACAATTAGTCATTCAGCTTCAACAAACTATTGCATCAACTCTGTAATGCAAATTGTAATGTGAAATGAGAGCACATCAAATCAGCATAAGCATTCTTCTGTGGCAAAAAATACTAGAGAATGTAACAAAGACAAGCACATCGGAGCCCAAAAACCAGCCTTTTTCCTTAAAGAATAGGGAAACAGAAGAAAAATCCATATCTTCTAACTCTCAGAAGCTAAAGACTAAAAACTTTCCCAAGATCTTGAGGCTTCCCGCGAAAAAAAGTAGAAGGCAACTAAATACTAAAAAACAGAAAGATCTGCAGGGCTTATACCGATCATGGACTGACGAACAGTGCAAACAAATTTCCAAATTTTCTTGATGAGTTCGAAACCTAGAAACCCTAACCCTATATCTCCGCCATCAGACAGGAGCTGACAGTTAAAAAACTGAAAAAGAAATCAACCGGAGAACAAGGAAGGAAGAGATCACCAGTTTCAGGAAATCCGCAAAAATGACTGAATTATTAGATCCGAATGGCCACCATGAGAAGCTCTCAATCGCCCAAATTTCCCCCCCAAATTCTTCGAAAATTTTAGGAGCGGAGTTGAGCTCCTGTAGTCAAACCCTCTTCCGACCCAAACCAATAAATCAGAAATACCAAAATGTATATATATATATTGTTAACCCTCACCATTTATTATTCCATTCTCCACACTCTAACAAGGGTGTGTTTTTGACCCAAGGTGTGATTTGTCATTTTGGTTAATTGCAGCATTGAAATTTCTGTAACTAAGGAAAAGAAATTGAAATGCAATTTTAATGATGACCTAAATATAAATCAGAGGGAGCATAGGTGGAGCATTTTTAGGCTAACAATGGATTACCCACCTAAGGCTTTGGATTATGGAGACTTCTTCTTACCCTCACTGATCTGGAGAACTCACAGGAACCACTAAAAAACATGAGGATTCCTCACCGGTTGCTGTTTCTGAGCCCTAAACATCATTTTCCAGCTTCAGAAACTATTTCACGGAATCAGTAACATCATTGGAGCTTATCTTTTTGTCAAATGGGGCAAGACATGACCATGCCAGGTCCAAGATGGAGTCCATCTTGTCGCTGAGAGAGGAGAGGAGTACTGCTCTGGGGTGTCACATCAGCTTCACATTGTTGCTGAGAGAGGAGAGGACTACTGCTCTGGGGTGTGTCACATCATCTTTTTGTTTGCAGCACTCAGTAGAGAACACTAAATACCAGGAGGCTTTCAACCATGTCCAGTCTGCTCACTCGAAACTCTTCTCCTTGAAACGTGGCATTAGGAGTACAGACCACTTTTCATCCCAACATGAGTGGAGCTTCTCCAACCCACTGCAAGCTTCTAACACTGCTTTAGTTGCTTTTGGATCATAAAGTTTCTGATTGAAGTGATCTTTTTCTGGATGCTGAGTCTCAGATAGGTAATCACAATACTAAGCTCAGGTAGCAGTAGCTTCAAGTACATGCTTGCAAGTCTCTATTCTGCTAGCAATGCAGATTACTATTTCATTTGTAATGAAAGACCATCTGCGTAATAAGGATACAATAGACGAGCCAGATTCGACAATCACAAATGATGCGTGCAACTGAAACATCATCCAGTTACTTGTTGACCTGAGCGTCGTTCCCTGAAACAGACATCATCATCAATGGAAAGACAAACAATGCAACAGGATTTGGATGAGGTTTGACTTCTCCTTGCGTTAGGACACTAAGAAGTGACGCTTCACTATTGAGTATCATCTTTGCTTGTTCAGAAGATAAATGAATGAAAGCCACACGGACTCCATCTCAAGCTTTTCATGAGCACACGCTTCATTTGCAGCTCTAAACCTGAGATAACAACTACACACGCATGCACACACAAAAGAGAAGGTCAAATTTCAAGATAAAAGAAGAAAATGTCAGGTTAAGCTTGAAGATATAACTTCCTATAATCCAATACCTCTGTACCAATAACAGCCGCAGGTTGACAAGAAACAATAACCTCAATGTCCTCCGTTGATTCTCTTATGCTTCATCTCCATAAGCTATCCTTTAGGTAGACCCATCTTTTAATAAGCAGCATCTCCCACAGCAAGGGTGTCAAATAATCTCAGCAATTCCAGCAAGTAAAACCTTACCCTGCCGATATCCAAGTTAGAACAATCATAAAATCACAACACGTCTCTTAGTTGGCATAAAAAAGAAGACTGGCCACTGCTTTTCTGAGACAGAGAGGCTATACAAATAGCAAATTATTAGGTCACAAGATCATCATGTAGCCTAGTCTTTAAACTTTGTATCATTTCAACATCTATGAGAATTCAAGAAGATAAGGCTGCCTGCCATCAATTTTGGCAGCACCAACAGATGAAAGCAACAGTTTCGCCAAGGTCTTGAATGTCAGTGGTAATCAATGCCACACAAGCGAGCATGTAAAAATCAGATACAATTTATCTTTTCTTAAATCCATATTTTTTACGTTCATAGAAGAGATCGGTCTTGGCACTTCCCAAATTAACAATCTTGGGGCAGCCATCGCGGTCCTTTTCCTGTTGCGTACATTCTTTGCAGTAGTAGGCATCAGATATCCCAACTCCCCCACAGATTACACACCTTCCCTGGAAGGATCCATAGTTGCACTCATCGCAGACACGAACTAGAGTACATGGGCGAACATATGAATCACAGATGACACACTTCCCATCACATTTCTCACACAGGCGCCCAATGGCTATCCCTGGCTGCTTCCGGCACATGATGAGATCAGGATGGTGCTTGGCCATGATGCTCTAATCAACCAAAGTTCCTGGACAAACATAAAAGATTAAGAAAACTGAAAAGTGCATCAAAGTGATCACTTCTAGTAGTCCATTGTCTACTTCTAGTTGACAAAATAGAAAAGATTAATTGATGTCAAAGGAAACATCAACATATAGCTAAGATACATGGGAAACATGATTAATTTTCTTATTTATGATTCCAAGAGCATAAAGCTGATCAAGATGAAAATACGGTGCTTTTGCTACAATGTGCACTTGCATGCAAGCTAATTTCCACTAAAATTTTAGGGTAAATATATGGTCAAGAGAATTGTCCACCAAACAATATGGTGTTGAAGTCATATTTTGAACAGAAACCAAACATAAAAATTCAACAGCTATGAGTAGGAATAAATCTTAATGTTGCTAAAGAAATTTGAAATCTTGACAAAGGTTGCACTAAATGAGAAATGAGAGAACTACTGGAACACCTAATAAATTGCACAGATCTGAAAGACGATAAAAGATTCATGCCAGTGACCTCAAAGAAATCGAGACCCCTGCCATAAAATCAGAATGAAAATTTGCAGGCAACAATACCTACCTTATCAGTTGCCATTTAAGATCCTGCAACCATCCCAATTCCTCTTAGACATGAACCAGACAAGAAGAGAAAGTTGTTGATTTCCTTTGGGGAAAACACTCATCTTACAGAAAGAATAAACTAAAGAACATGTCAACAAAATATTTGGAATGAAGAACCTCTTACTTTTGACCCTAACCAAATAGCCCTCAACAAAATCCTCTCAACATGACCTTCTTTCTCTCATAATGTTAGGGACTCAACCCAACTGACCATACCCCAAACTGGCACAGTTGAATGATATAATCACCATTCTCTTTTTCTACATAAAGTTTTACTCATCTCAATGGCTCTTCATTTATTAGTCTGACAATAACTGGCTTATAATGTGCATATTCTCTGCACCACGTATAGAGTATCTATCACTTTAATCTACACCTCCTTCAAAGTTTATGTTAGTGTTGCTTTGCATCCCATGGTCATTAGCATTCACATGTAAAGTTAATTGCCCGTTATACACTTATACTAGATATGAGTATTGGCTCTACTGAACGTGAAGACTACACTATGTATCCATGCTACATCTTCGTTAAGGTAACCAACAAACCAGAGTTTTTAATTTACGTGCAGATGAAAACAGGGCGACAAAAATTCATACAATTAATACTACATAGAATTTATTTTGCAATTAAGATGAATTTATCTTGAATTTATTAAATGTGGTAAAGTGGACAACACCTTTGCAGTATAAGTTTTATAATCCTTCATAAGCAAGAACATGGTAAATTCATATGTTCCGGAAAGGCTACAACTCCTCTAAAAGGTGACAATTCAAGTAGTTATGACCTCCTAAGCTCCAAAAGGTGACTAGTCTAAAGGTTCCAGAAGCTCTAGGTGCCTAGTCGGCAGTGGCAGCCCGTATGCCTAGGTGGCATGGTTGCTGCCGAGACAATATTGGATAAAATCAAAATTTCGTCATAACTATTATCATGGTATCGAGGTCTATTTATATAAGCATGAGGATAATCCTATTTAAAAAACTGCGGCTTTTATAACATCCCCTCTCCCTCGTGCTCCATACTTAATTCTAGTTTTATCTCCGTTGATATGCAGCTCATAGTAATTTCCTAACCCATCTTGCCCACCTGACATATATGGTCAGGTGAGACATTTTTCAGCTTGATGTCATCTTGTCTGATTTAATCGAAATATTAGGAACAATCTTCTTTAAATATTTGTACAATTTCAAAGACTGACACCGATGTTTTTCCTAAGAATAATCCATTTGTTTCTATCCACCGAAACAAAACAAGAACGGCAGACAAGAACGAAAAGCGTATAACTCCACGATGATATCCATGAAAAGAGAATATAAAGCATATCTGAAAACCGATTTTTTTGGGGGGGAGAAAAAAAAACTATGGCGTAACCCTAATCCAGAGATAATTCCCTGATACTATTCGCAGAGCGGAAGATCCAACCTTAAAACCACATTTCTAGATTCGATGTTGCACAACCCTATGCTAGAACTTGAAAAGGTACCGATCATAAGACCAGTCATAAAATCTGAGACATTATAAAACACGAGGAAAAAACATTACAGAGTGATCAGAAAACCTACTATGATAAGAATAATATGTACCTCGATGGCGGAAACCCTCAGGAGAAACTCCAGCAAAATCGGCTCCGCAAAGCTCTGGATCTTTCTCGATTGATGAAAACCCTATTTGTGGTCCGCTACGCTTCCGAAAGCGCGTATTCTACTTCACCCGACGGACGTGGCTTTCTTCGTTACAGTTTATTTCTTGCGGGCCGCTAAAGACAGCGGCGCGGCAGATGCAAACATAGTTTATGTTATACTTCCCCGAGCACCATCTTCCCGCTCTGTTTGGTATTAAGGTGGAATTTGATTAAGAAATTGAAAAGCGCAACATATATATACATATATATATATATATATATATATATATATATATATATATATATATATATACATATATATATCTATGTATATGTATATATATATATATATATATATATATATATATATATATA